ACTTTATTATTATTCATCATCATCGTCTCAAAGGACCTTGTACTGCTCCGTGATGAAGATCTCGACGGCGGTTCATCATGATGGTAATTATGATTCTGAAGGTTTTGGTTGTGATACATATTATTGTTGACCTCCCCTATTTCGTATTGATCATATGGTATATTTATGCTGCTTCGACTACTATGTAATAATGGCTCGTTATCATTATTACTGTTGATGTTGGAAACTGAGCCGCCGCTGTTTGCCGATATTGTAGGGTTATGCGGAACAAATTTTCGATAATGATTGGGTGCTGAAATTAGAAAAATTATGAAATTTCTCAGATTTGGTAACGTATTACGAAGATCCACGCGCAACAATCCTTGTGAATTCATCAACTAATAATATTAAAAAATTCATAATAAACAAATTAATGATTTATTCTATATATATATATATATATATTTGAACAAAAGTATTTTTTTAGACCTGCTCAATATTCTTGTTTAGCAGAAAAACAGCATACTCAAATCGGCCACGATCAACTCCTTTCATGAATAAAGGAAAACTAATTATAATATATCATAAATTAGTAAAGAAAAAATGAGAGCAAAACAAAATACGAAAAAAAGTAATATAAATAATGAAACGATAAAATAATTACAGGGCTCCAAGTTGATTGTTGGTCACGTAAAGCAATCCTCCTTCCCCCATGAAAAATCCCACCACAATCAAGTTTAAAAAACGCCCGAGTGCCATACACGGCGATATAGTTTCCCTGTGTGTATGACATATGCGTAGTTATATTTTGAATATATTATTTTATTTTCAGAACCAATTACCCGTTTCCTTTCCTTTCCCTTCCCAATCTAAACTATTTGTCTTATAATTATTTTTTTTTGCAAATCCTATTTTCTTTTGAATTTACTGAGCAGACGTCAAACAACCAACTTGGAGCAAGCAAGCACCTATACACTTACTGTCGCGGTGCTGGTATTGTAGCCGATATTGGATCATAAATTGTCGATCTCGATGACATTGGTGTCATGGGAAATCTCAACGGTATTGCAAGGTAAAATGCAAGCATCTGTGTAAGATGACATGTAAATCCAAGCGCCGTTGCTATTTGCTCGTCATTGCCTAATTAATATTAACAATGTAATTATCAATCTCGCTAAATATCTCCTAAGAAAAAATAAAGTGTTTACCATTATTGAAAACTGAATTAGGCAATGGCACACCGAGAATCTTAAAAGAAAGCGTATCATTATCTATCTAGAAAAATTCA